AAACTTTTTTTTTTTTTTTTTTTTTTTTTTTTTTGGCTAACAAGCTGTAGAAAAACAGGGAGTGAGTTTAGCTGGTAGATAGAGACTTGGCTGTTATAGCTGTTCTGTATAGTAAGAGAGTTCGCAACTGGATGTTTTATACGTGATACACTTCTCTCGATGAGAAATAGAAGTTCCACGTTAGCACAAGAATTAATCCTATCATCTAGCTGTTTATCTTACAAGGCAGAGCTAGGCATTTCTTTGGTTCCCCCCACCCCCCCAGATGGAGGTATCTTATTCAGATACTCTGGTCCTTCCAACAGGCAGGTCTCATGCCTGCTCCGCATGTACCGAGTTGGAACAGTGAAAGGGCTCAGGTAATGCCATCCTGTTCCAGCTCCATCAGAGACTGGCCTAGGCAGTTTTCTGCCCTCTACCTGCCTCCCCACAGTGGTCAGTCATATCTGCCTTGGAGATTTCCAGGGCCTTGACCATGGTCCAGATGTATTAACCAAAATAATTAAAGTCAACTAAAATAGCTAGAAAAGATATAATTCAAAAATAATTGGCAAGCTATGTCTAAAATAATTACAGTGTTCTGCCAGGTTACTCGGTCTTCATCTAACTCAGTTAAACTATGGTCTTTGTGGTCCTTTGCTTTTAAAAACTCTGCATCCCTGAGCTGGGTCACCAAGAGAATTTTCAGAGCCTCAAGCCCACTCAGGCCACAAATCAAAAGGACTTAAAACTTTTAATTGTTATAATCAACATGGTTGTCAGTAACTACCAGAGTGCTGTAAAACTGCCTATTTCTGCTGGGCATGGGGAGCCATGCCTGGGAAGGTGGAAGCCAGCCTGTTCCATATTGATGGTTCCACAGCAGCCAGGGCTACATAGGAGGACCCTGACTGGAAAATGGACCAACCAACTACAACAAATATGCCCATTTATAGCCTGTTTGAATTCTCAGTAGATGGATGAGTCTAGGTTAGCCCTCCCTCAGAGTAAGCTTAGACAGCCTGCCTGCCATTTCTGGGCTTGGCTTCTGTGTTACCCTCTGGCTTCATTGCCCCCTTTAGCCAGTTGGGCTGTCCTTTGGGGCTCAATCACAGCCACTGCCTGCCCCGGGACAATAGACCAGTTCCACCCCAAAACCAGTTTATGGTGGTTATTCTTGCTTGGTTGTCAACCTGACCACATTTGGAACTAAAACCCAAAAATGGAGGGACTGTGGTGGGGGGTGCCTCCTCCTCTATTTTTTTTTTTTTTTTTTTTTTGCAGTGCAGGGTCCTGCGCACGCCAGGCAAGCAGTCTACTACTGAGCCACAGTCCCAGACCTACTTTTAGCTTTTAACCCAATCCCCACCTCACCACCAAGACGGCCAGGTTCACAATGCCTAGCCAGAGAGGCACCTACTCTAGTGGCAGTCCAGACAGGGTGAGGAGGCTCTGCCAATGCCGGTAAGGCTTCATCAGCCCAAGGCTGAGTCTCCTCTCACTGCCAGCAAAAGGCTGTTGGCAGGGCTTCTTCTCAAGGCAGACCACACGGGCGCTGTGCCACCTCCCCTAAATGTTAAATCATACAAATGGGTTTCAAATGTGCCTTTGGGAAGCCGAGCAAGCGTGGCAGTCAGCTCACATGTACTCGTGAATGACATGGCTGGTGGCCGTCTCCCTTTACTGGATCAATACAGTGTCACTCACTTGTGAATCACGTGCTGATGGCATCTCTGGAAATAGCCTCATGAGTCTGAAATTAGGTGACGACAGTTGGACCTTCTTTCTTGCTGGAGTCTCCTGCGGACTCATCAGCTCTACTGGCTATAGCTTAAGAAAATGCAAGTTTTAGACACAACTGGTTTTGGTTGTTTGTTTTTGTTTTGTTTTGACACAGGGTCTCTCTACATAGCCCTGGCTGTCCTGGAACTTATTATTGTAGACCAGGCTGGCCTCAAACTCACAGAGATCCACCTGCCTCTACCTCCTGATTGCTGGGATTAAAGGCATGTGTCACCAACGCCTCTGCCTCTATAGCTATCGGATGAAAGGCGTGCGGCATCACGCCTGGCTAAAACTTTTCAAAAGTCAACACATGGTAGAAAAACGGCCAAAGCAAGGAAGGTAAAGTGGGGGAGGGATGAAGAAGACTTCACAGAGACTTTTTTTAAAAGTTCAATATACATCCTTTATTTCTAGTTTTAAAAAATGGCTTAAATTATCATGACACTATTTACAGGATTAATCACTGTTGTGTGTGTGAGGTGCTGGGGTGGACCTTGTCCAAACAATGCGCCCAGGATAGTCGCATTTAAGCCACCACAGTGGACATGAAGGGGACACAAAGGGCCCCTCTTTGTGACAGGCTGGGACAGCTGGGACAACGCAAAGTGAAGGGAGGCCCCAGGCTCTCATCAGCCAGGGCAGCAAACAAAGAAGAGAGCATCACAGGCCAGGAGCTGTGCTGTCCGTAAATGATTGTATACCTTTTTAGTGTTTAAGAGAAACCTTTTTTTCCTGAGATATTTTCCCGTGGAATCCTTTTAGATACTTGTATGATCCAGAACTCATAAAGAATAAACAGTATAGCATCTTCCCCTCAATGTCCTTCCTGAGGCGGAAGTCCGCAGGGCATTGGTGGTCTCTGCAGAGTCCAGGCCGAATGGCGGCAGCACCCTGGGTCATCGTCCTGGGCAATCAGGGACCAGTGCCTGGCTCATAGTGTTTGCAGCACATCCTGCTCCTTTTCTGGAGAGGACACAATTGACACAGAGTCCCAAGCATCGTCCTTTGAGCAGTGGTCCTTGTCCAAGGCATCTAAGATGGGCTGGTCTGGGTCCTTTAAATACTAGGAAGAATCAGAGGCAAAACAATCACAAACGGTTTCATAGGGCAGGTCTCACCTGGAGTTAGTGTAACTGTATTTTGTCGACCAATGCAGTAATACCAGTGACACTACTCTATTATTACTGTTGTGCTGCTGCTGCTGCTGTGTGTGTGTGAGTGTGAATGTGTCTGTGAGTGTGTCTGTGTGTGAGTGTGTGTCTGTGTGAGTGTGTCTGTGTGTGTGTGTGAGTGTGTCTGTGTGTGAGTGTGTGTCTGTGTGTGTGTGTGAGTGTGTCTGTGTGTGAGTGTGTGTCTCTGTGTGTGAGTGTGTGTGTGTGTGTGTAGCACTACTCTGTTGTAATGTGAGGGTGGGGTGGGGGTGGGCGTCGAGCCTAGGGCTGGCACACGGTAAGCACACACACTGCTGTGGGCACTTGCCCAGCCCTGATTTCCAGCATGCGCCTGTCTCTAGCCCTCTTGTCAGCAGTAACTATAGCGTGGCTCCAGAGGCAGGCCTGGGGTGTATGGCCCGTGCAAGCGTGCTTCTCCAGCAAGTACAGGGGCCTGGGTTCCATCCCCAGAACTGTAAAAAAACAAAACCGAATCAAACAACAAAACTTATGGGCCAACCACATTCATCTGGCAAAAGCTGTGTGTGTGTGTGTGTGTGTGTGTGTGAAACTGTGTGTGTGTGAAACTGTGTGTGTGTGAAACTGTGTGTGTGTGTGTGTGTGAAACTGTGTGTGTGTGAAACTGTGTGTGTGTGTGTGTGTGAAACTGTGTGTGTGTGAAACTGTGTGTGTGAAACTGAAACTGTATGTGTGAAACTGTGTGTGTGAAACTGAAACTGTGTGTGTGTGAAACTGTGTGGAACTGTGTGTGTAAAACTGAAACTGTATGTGAAACTGTGTGTGTGTGAAACTGTGTGGGGGAGGACTCAGAAAAAGTAGGGCTCAGTGTACACTTTGTGAATTAGGAACTTTAAAATATTTAAGGGGTGACTCACTAGGGTGCTTGCTGCCAAGCTTGGCCACCGCATTTGATCCCCAGGACCCATGTGATCAAATGAGAGAATGGGCTCCAGCAGTCTGACCGCTGACCTACACACAGCACAGCCCAACCCGCTAAAATGAAAAATGTCACACTCAGCCTTCATTCAGCTGTGACAGGGTAAAGCAGGGAACACCCATAAGTACTGCTGTAGCTCTTCCTTTTGCTTGCACACAGCCCTGGGGTACACTGGGGTGGGGTGAGGTCCTCACAGCCCCGGACTTTCCCTTTTGTTCTTGGCTATAGAGTCCCATTGTTTCCATGGCTCTGCCTGCAGTCTGAGAAGTACCCAAAGAGACCCCAAATGGCGACAGCCAACAGAAAGAGGAACAGGGCCACCCACACATGTGAAACCATTCTCCAGTCTCATGTAACATCAGCGACCTCGGACAGTTTTTCACACTTTCCCAAGAAAGTGCATCAAAACCTTAAATTCCTGTCTCAGAGAAACAGCTGTGGTAAACAAGAGTTGTACCTGAGACAGGATGGACTCAGGAAAACCCCAGGGGCCATCAACACCTGTCATTCCCTGACAGTGTCAGCTAAGGAGCCTTTAAACCTATCACCTCAGGTGCCATGTGTTTACACAGACTGGGACATTCATTATCCTATGTCTTTATTCTGTGTGGATGTCCGTGTGTGGGCAAGTGCCCACCTATGGAGAGCAGAGGACAACTTTGGGAGTCAGTTCTCTCCTATGTGTGCTGGGATCACAGGTGTGGGATCCCAGCCCACCTTTTTTTTTTTTTTTTTAAGATTTATTTATAATGTATACAGCGTTCTCTGTGTGTATTTCTGCATACCAAAAGAGGGCACCAGATCTCCTTATAGATGGTTGTGAGCCACCATGTGGTTGCTGGGAATTGAATTCAGGACCTCTGGAAGAGAAGCCATGGCTCTTAACCTCTGAGCCATCTCTCCAGTCCCCTGCCCACCTTTTAGCTAAACCATTTTAAACCCAAGTCTCTGCTCTTGGGCACCAGAGCCCTGCTGGTCACTCACTCATACATCTGTGCACTGACCTCCTGTATTTGTTCCGGGATGGTTGGTGGAGCTTGAAACCAGTATTTCACCCGGCTTTGGTATCTGAGGAACAGGAAGAAGCAGGCCCCAGTCAGCACCAGTAGCAATGAAAAGGTCCCCACGGCGATCAGGGTGACTTGCAGCCTGGTTGATGCTGCTAAAAAAAAAAAAAAAAAAAAAAAAAAAAAAAAAAAAAAAAAAGATGTAAAAGTGAGCAAGACTTCATCTACCAATGCTTGACAGGTCCCCTCCCCTGCCCTTGTCTTATGCACTTAAATTAGTAATTTCCATCTCAAAATTCAAGCCCTGAGAAATTATATTCCAAAATAAAAAAACTGCCCCATCAGGTAGTGGTGGCGCACACCTTTAATCCCAACACTCAGGAGGCAGAGGCAGGTGGATCTCTGTAAATTTGAGACCAGCCTGGTCTACAAGAGCTAGTTCCAGGACAGCCTCCAAAGCTACAGAGAATCCCTGTCTTGAAAAACCAAAAAAGAAAAACAAACAAACAACCCCTCCCAAACTGCCCCATCATGATACCACAAGTGGAAAGTTCTACATAAAAAAGTCATGCCATGGGTCACAGTTCCAGCACGTATGTGCATTGGGCTGTGAGATGGCTCAGCAAACACAGCCACTTGCCCCTAAGCCTGACACACAGACCATGTGGTGACAGGAGAGAGCTGTCCTCTGACCTCTACTCAAACACACACACACACACACACACACACACACACACACACACACACACACACACACACAGAGCAAATAAAAATGTAATAAAAAATTCCCAAGCATCAGTGTACTAAAAATATTATATAAAAGCTCCTTCAGGCTATTCATATAAGGTATCTATGAAACAAGGGAATTTTATGTTCCTAAGACAACTCATTATGTATATGCAAATCGGAAACAAGAGAACCTCAAATCTGACATTCTTCTGGTCTCAGGTGTTTTGGAGACTACTCAGCCTGGTCACAGCAGCTCCTTGCTGCCACAGACCCCAACATGATCAGACTTCCAGGTAAGTACTTCCGGGTCTCTGCCCCTACCACCTGCCACCCACCCATGCCTGAATTCACTATTCAGGAGAAGCTTTTCTGCACACACAATGGATAAACGAAGGCGTGTCTTACCATCTGCTGTTGTTTCATGGCAAGACACGTTGCTTAACGAAAGCCCAGGCCGACAGTTGTTGTTTTGCACCGTCAGCTGTGCCTCGGTTTGTAGACAGTACACTCTGAATGGCTTCAAGTTACTCAGCACAACCGAGTTCTCCTTGAACGGGCCCCTCACCTGGGTAGACAGCACCACACCAGACAGGTCAGCCAGCCAGCCAGGGCCAAGTGGCTTCTAGCTTTTCTTGTGCCTCAAACCCACAGTGAGCACGACTGAACTGTAACAAGACCGCAGGGCTACGAGCTCTCATAAGCCTCGTGCAGCAACCAGAACTTAACAAATTCCAATTTCTACCATAAGAATTTCTCCTGTAAAGTTAATACATTGGGCTGGGGAGATGGACACAGTGTGTGTTTGCTGCTTAACCAACCCCAAGGAGTCGCGTTCGGCAATCACAAGGTGTCGATCCTCAGCACCTATGTAAAAACTCAGGCATGTCAACATTCGGATGTATCCCCAGAGTTGGGAGCAGAGACAGGCAGATCTCCGTGAGTTCAAGGCTAGTCTGGACTAATTGAGTTCCAGGATAGCCAGGGCTACACAGAGAAATCCTGTCTCAAAACAAAACAAAACAAAACAAAAAAAACAAAAACAAAAAGAACCAGGCTCAGGGCTCAAGCTCCAGGAGACACGGGGAACCCTGGTCTCCTGTGTCACGGTGGAAAGTCTTTCTTCTGAATCAGAAACGCTAAAGAAACCCTAAACAAAGAAGAAAAGTGTTCTTGCCTGTTGGGCTCCTGTTTTTTCCCAGTAACGGACACGGTACTCAAAAGTTGCTTCACTAGTCACATCAAAGGGAGGTGAGAAATGGATGATGAGGGAGCCTTTTCCTGGGATCACTGAGATAGTTTTTGGAGGCCCAACAGTAACTGAAATAGAATTACAAACAAGCAAAATACTCACATGAATAACCTTGACACTGAGTATACATACCCATTTATACCAGGTATGTGCATACTGTGTATCTATATTCTACATGCTTGTGCACACACACATTTATCCTTATATAAGTGATGGGCTGTACTCAGATGCCACCTCTGAAGGAGCTATCTACTGAGAAGCCAACATCCAGCTTGATGGAAAGTCCCTGCAGATCCCACATGTGGCCCCAAACCAGCCTCTGACAAGTGCAGGCCTCAGGGGTAGGTATGGCCTCACACAAGGCATCCAAGATCACTGTGGCTTCGATGCGGTTTCTCAGCAGGAAGTCATTTGACAGTAAGCAAAGCTTCCAGAGTCATGGCTGGCATCAGAATCCCAGAGAAATAGGACAGAAATTAAGCCAGAGATCGAGTTTCCTTCCATTCAGGGTGGGAAAAGATGTGTAAGGCTTGAAACTTGCAGAGAAATGGGTGGATCTAGAAAGTATTTTAAGTGAGGGACCCAAACTCGGGGGGGGGGGGGGAGACACAGGGGACGGGACACGGACGACGGACGGGGACGACAAGGACATATTCTCCCTCCCTCACGTGAAAATCCTAGTCTAGTGTTCACGAGTGTGTATGTAAGTAAACAGGATTAAGTGTGGTTGTAGCATAACATTTACTCTATCGTTTGGGTTTTCTTTCACTATTGGTTTTGGGTCAGGGTCCTGGAACTCACTGTGTAGACCAGGCTGGTCTCAAACTCACAGAGATCCGACTGCCTCTGCCTCCCAAGGGCTGGGATTAAAGGTGTGCGCCACCCTAACTCCCAGATCACTTTATAATAAGCTGACATTTTAATGGTTCTGGATTATTTTGGGGATTTTATTTTTTAGTTAAATTTATTTACTTATTTTCATTTCAGTTGTGATGGATAAGGAGGGGTAACTAGACTCCAACACACGGGCTTCTCACCCAACACAGGTGGGTGCCCTCTCAGTAAGATGGGTGGACTGTGAGTCAGGAGTACAGCTCGTATCCAGCAGACACAAGGCGCCTGCTCCCCAGAACCCCAGCAAAGAAAAGAGGGGTGCAACTGTCTTCCAGCAAAACATTATTTACAGTAACAAGGTGGTGGGTCAAATTTGGGGCCTGGTGTGGCAAATCACATTCCTTTAGCATCAGCCTCCAGGGCCAGCAGTCCCTTGTAACCCTACCGGTTTGTCTTTGGTTTATTTAGGAGGGCCAGAACCAAGGTCTAGGGTGGGTTCAGCGTTGCTCTCAGAAGAGGCATGTAAAGAAAACCTAGGCACTGTAGTGTTTCTTTTTAAAGATGTATTTATTTTATTTATCTCTGTGTGGGTGTGGGTGGTACCAAGGAGGCCACAAAAGGGTGTTAGATGCCCTGGAGCTGGAGTTTAAGGCAGTTGTGAGTTCTCCAATGTGGATGCTAGAGACTGAACTCTAGCCCTCTGGAAGAGCCATCTCTAGCCCCTGGAAAGTTTTCTATACAAGTTCTCTTACCATTACAATAGCGTTGAAACTCAGTCGAGGTGACCCAGTCAGAGGTGCGCTCTCCTTGCTTGGCTCGAACTCTCAAGGAAACAGAGTATATACCCGAGAAACCCCTCAAGCGGCCACCTCTGGTGAAGTCACACTTCGTCACTGTGATGTCTGTACAGTTTACCTCTGTGAACTTATTCCAGGAACCATCAACACTGGGAAAGAAAACAAGATTTCATTTTACTGTTCACCAGAAATGCTGTTTTCTACAAAATAGTTGCAACCACTTCTCCTTTTGGCAAAGGTCAAGTACAAAACTCTTACCTACTGTGGTCTTAGGATGGTCAGCTACCACTACGACTGATTTTTAAAACATGTTGCTACCCCCTGCCCTCCCCCAAGAAAATACCCCGCCTGATATCCATTGTTAGAATTCTCCATTTTTCCTCAGCCTGGTGCCCAGTCATAGGCAACAACTGATGTACTTTCTGTCTCAACAGGTTCTCTCATTCCAAACGGGCCATATCATACAGGTGCCTATGACAGGTCCATTCACGATACAGAATATTTCAATTATGTTTTTTTTAAGCTTTAGTTTTTTAAATTTTTGTGTTTTACTTTTATGTGAATGCATATGAGCCTTCAAACATTCATGTATTCCGTCTGCATCCATATCCAGGAGCCTTAGGAGGGCAGAAGGGGCATTGGATCCCCTGGAACTGGAATGACAGCCAGTTAGTTGTGAGCTGCCATGTGGGTGCTGGGAAAGGACTCATAATGGTAATTACAGAGCCATCTCTCTAGCCCCATGTAGAAGTTCTTCACATTTTACATTTGCGTGTGTGTGTCATGGAATACACGTGGAAGTCAGAGGACAACTGTGTGGAACAGCTCTCTACTCCACCATGTGGGTCCTAGGGACTGAACCCAGGTCCTCAGGCTTGGCAGCAAGAGCCCTTTCCCTGAGAGCTATCTCACTGGTCCCATGGATCAGTTCTTCATTTCTCTCCTCAACCCCAAACTCCCATCGAAGCCATGACACATGGATTATGAGTTTGAGGTAGGTCAGCCTGGGTCACATGAGTTTCAGCCCAGTCTACAACACATAGGGAGACCCTTTCTTCGAAAGTAGGAAGGGGGAGGGGAGGAAGAAGCAAGAAAAAGAAAGAAAGAAAAAAGACTGATCCCTTTGTGTGGGGGATCACACTTTGTCTACATGTCTGTCAGCTGGTAGACGTGGTTGTCTATATGTCTGTCATTTTGAAATGGATGATCAGGGTTCCCAAGGGAGTTTCTAGTCACCTGCACACAGCATCCAACCCCAGGGTCTCAGAGACAAGAATCATGAACAACAGCCCCCCCCCCCCCCCCCCCCCGAGAAGGCACCCCTCCTAGAAAGAGCACTTTTTTAAAGCCTTGTAACCTCCATCTGGCCACTCCGTGCCGCCAGCTGTTGAACTTGGAGGAATAAGCCCTACATCTCAAAAGATTCAGTCCTGATTCACCAGGAAATCAAGCAGGCCTGCTCTGCACACACACACCCGTCTTCCAGCCTTGCCCTGATCTTAAAATTGTTTCTCAGAAGAATAGGAGTTCTGAGGGAAGGAAACCCTTTCTACACAGATGGTAAAAACAAGAAGATGATTTTGTTTCATTTAAAGGAATAACAAACACATCCTCAGGTACACCGTTCATCGCCAGACCAATCCAATCAGTCTGTCTAATCGTTATTAATTAGAAGAGTCACCCTGGCTTCTGTGTACTGACTCATTTTGTACTTCTGTTCCAGAAATTACCTAACTTTTCGTGTGTGAGTGTGCTGGTCAATCTGTGATAGTTAATTTTAACCGCCAACTTGACACAGTCTAGACTCTGCTGGGGAGAGTGTCAGTGAGGGCATTGTCAGTATCAGGCCGGCCTGTGCACACGACTGCCTGTGACCGTCCGGCACACTGCAGGAGGCACCACTTCCTAGGTTTGGGACCTGGACTGTGTACGATGGAGATGTGAGGTGAGCACTAGCAGCATGCATTCATTTCCCTGCTCTTGACTGTGGATGTGATGTGAGTGGCTTCCCGGCTGTGACACACAGTAACCTTGAACTACAACAAACCCCAAGTTGCTTCTGTCAGAGTATTTTTATCACAGCAACAGAAATAAAACTGGGGCATCATCAATCCCTGGGCCTTATGTAAGCTACACATATGTGCTTCCAGAGTTAACAGCCCAGGGTACATGCATCCACTCTTTATTCAGTGTATTTACTCTTTTGAGACACAGTGTTGCTGTGAAACCCAGGCTGACTGAATTTGCAATTCATCTGTTCCCAAGTACAAGCCTTGCAGTTACATGGCACCAGGCCTGGCTAGAAAACCTGTTTTTTAATTATTTTAAAATTTGACCTGTATTATTTATTTGTGTCTGTGTGTGTATGGATGCCGTGTGATAGTGTGTGGAGGTCAGAAGACACACACCCTGAAGTAGTCTAAGTGGGTCCTGAGCCATTTCGCTGGCCCCTAGAAAACCTTTTCTTTGTTTCTCTCTTTTTCTTTTTTAAGCAATAGTCTTTATGGGAAGGAGTGTTACATTGTAGTTTAATGCTTAGCACCAGGATGAAGATTTCCCGTATCAAATTCTAAGTTTCTTTTTTGTTTCTTTCTTTAGTTTTTTTTTTTTTTTTTTTTTCCAGTCAGAGTTTCTCTGCATAGCCCTGACTATCCTGGCACTCACTCTGTAGACCAGGCTGGCCTCAAGCTCACAGAGATCCACCTGCCTCTACCTCCTGATTGCTGGGATTAAAGGCATGTGTCACAAACGCCCAGGTCAAATTCTAGTTTCTTAACATGGTTCCTCAGTCTGCTGATCTTAGAGGAGAGTCAGGCCAGCAGTTGGCTCGGTGGAGGAAGGTGCTTGCCGCCAAGCCTGTGAGCTGGAGTCCAATCCCCAGCATCCATGCGGTGGGGTGGAGGAGGAGAACCAACTCTGGCAAGCTGACCTCTGACCTCCACACACTGGTTGTAGCATCCATGCCTCCCCAGTGCACACAAAAAGTAAATACTAAGAAATCTGTGTTTATATGTGTGTGCGCATGTATATATTTTTCTCCTTTAAACAGAAGGCTCAACTGTAGTATCTGCTTCCTGGAATTATGGGGAATACTGAGCTGACATAAGAAAAGCACCCTATCAAGATGCCACTTCTCAGTAAGGACCATGCAAATGTTTGACAGAACTTAGCCAGCACTCCTCGAATCTTTAGCGCCCACCCTCTTCCTCGTTTCACTCGTGGGGACACTCCTCCCTTGCTGAGCCCCCTCTCAGCTTTCAGGGCTGAGGGCCGGCAGTGCCTGTGGATGCTTAGCTATGCTCTGTCCCTTATCCCCAGACTAGGCTTTAGGCATTGAATGTTCACTGTGCACGGAGAACAGTAGGTTACGATTCTTGCTGCTCCTCTGGGTGGCCTACAAAGAACAAGCACTGCGGGAGCAATCAGAAGACACAACAAATGTTCTGAGGTGAGCCAAGCAGCAAGCTATGACCAGGCTTCCGAAACACCAGAGGACAGCATGCTTTTTGTTTGCTGGTTACAGCAAAACCCTCCAGGTTCTATAATGTTGGCTACTAATGTTTTTTGTTTGTTTATTTGTTTGAAAGATGAAACGCTCTGGCCACACAGCCTGGAGGATGCCATCTATGACCGGTTTAAACTTTAAAATCTCCTCCATGTTTCCTGTAGATTTGGCTTTGCTACTGTGACTGTCATAAAAGCAGCCAATGCTCCTTTCTATTTTACTAAAACCAATCTCAACCCCCGATGAAAGGCTACAAAATGTTTACCAAAGAGAGAGCAAGGAAGGGGCTGGGAAGACGCTGCCAAGAATCTGAGCACCCAAGCCAGCCTGTAAAACAGTGCAGTGGGAAAGAGAGGTGGGCAGAGAGACAGGCGGATCCCTGGTCAGCCAATCCAGCTGAATCGGAGAGCTCCATGTTCAGTGAGAGGCTCTCTCTGGAAAAACGAGGAGCAAGACTCAGGAAGGTGCTTGGACATCATCTCTGGCCTCCATCTGTTCACCCACAACACACACACACACACACACACACACACACACACACACACACACAACACACATGTTACACATACACACACAAACCCCACAAACAAACAAAAACCTAGAGTCAAACAGGCTAACCTATAATACGAAGCTCTATGGAAGCCTTAACAAAGCTCAGTAAAGCAAGCACAGTGGCACAGGCCTAGAATCTCAGTTGCTGGAGAGGCTGAAGCAGGAGAATCTCTAGTTCCAGGGCCACATGAGCAAAACAGGAATGCTTGTCTCAAAGCAAGCAAACAAGTCTGTTTATTGAGTATGTGCCCAGTGATTCTTTAGTGAGCTCCTGTGATAAAACAAAACCCATTTAACGGAGCCCATTCTTGCAGTGCACAGGTCTCAAGCTGCAGTCACGTGGTAGTCAACACAGAAACACAGAAAGGAGGGGAGAGGCACAACAAAGGGTGAGCACAGGCACATCATTCAAAACAGAACCAGGTCAGAAACCAAGAACCACTGTAGTCTGCTGAGTAAATTCCTTCGTAGGCTAAATTTGGACTTTGAGGTTTTAACCCTGAAAGCTGCCGGTCCCTTCCTTAGGCAGCAGTCAGTTTTACTGTGAGCAGAGCAAAGGGATTAACTCTCACCACTAAAGGAGGCTACACAGCAGCCATGATTTCTGACAGCCAGACGCACTTGCATGGCCTCCAGTGGCTAGGAGGTTGAGATCTCTGTCCTTGGAGCTTTTAGATGCACAAGATGCCACCCCCAGGCCCCTCCACAGACCTGCAGGCCCCAGAGTTCCCTGTGACTCCCCGCCAGGTCCCAGCAAGGATACCCACAGAACAGCTACTTACTATTTAAACTCCACCTGGTAGACCACTGGTCTTGTGTCGTTGCTGGGGGGTGGCGGCTCCCAACTTAGAATCTGCTCGTTATTGTACAGGTGAAGATCTAGGTGCTGAGGTGCAGCAAGCTGGGAAAAAGAGTCTTGAGAGGAATAGGGAATGGGGGGGGGGGATCTCATAAGAGAACGCTCAGTTACATTTCAGGGCATGTTATCAAAGCCATTTATCCCGCACAGCTCTTGTCACAGTTCAGGAATGAGAGCTGCTGTTCCCCCGGCACACTCTCTGGGTCTGATTGTGAGGATGACACTGTGGACAGTGGGAGCAGTGTTTGAGGCCACCCTCCACCTGCAGGCTCCAGCTGATAGAGCAGGTGGTGGGAACCACAGTGCGGCTCCACCGGGCTCTCAGATCTACCGTTTGTGACTGCACTTGACTCCGGGCTGCCCAAGCCTCCGTTTTTCTACAGGAATAACCCTGAGCCTAACCAATGATAAGACTCCCCACAGAGCTTGAGTCTGCCAGTGGGGATCTAATAGGGCAGGCAGGGTACCAAGATAACCCTGCATGTATATGGGGATGCAAACACCCCAAATCAGGCAGACAACTCCCCAAAGTAGTGTCGTCATGTGCTCCTCCAAGACCTCGCACTCATCACTGAGATGCAGGGTAGTGTGCTGAATCCCAGGCGCCGTGCCACGGATGAGGAAAGGACACTTTTAACTCGCCTCCCACCTTCGGGACCCACAAATGACAAAAGAACGCATTCCCTCCACGCAGCAGATTCCCCGTCTTGGGTGACCTGAAATAAACTAATTCCAACCCATCCTGTCAGACAGATACTCTCTCTGCAGGCGGGGCTACAGTCTGAGAACAATGGAACCTTCTCTCTAAAGAGAAATCGAGATAACACTTTCTCTGATCGAAAGATTAATGAGAAATATTCAGAAGGTGGAAAGAAAAACATGCTGCTCCAGAATTCAAAGCAGGAAACTCAAACCACATGTTTTCCGAAAGCCCTTCCCGAGCGAGCGAGCGAGCGAGCCTACAGAGGGTGCGGAGGAGCCGCCCCCACATCCCACGCCCCCCTCCCCCCCAGGCATGCTGCCCAGCCACCAGGCTGCAGCCTGTGTAGTCAGAGTGCCCAGCGCCTCTGCGAACTCCGGGCAGCGCTCACACTAGTTCTTTCAACATTGCTGCCCATTCACACGGGAAAACCTGCTGAAAGTCAGCCAGGCGAGCAGCGTGGCGGAGGACCGACCTGCTCAGCTCCCTGAGCAGAGGTCTCTGTGCAGCACCCGTGGGCTGAGGACTTGGCCAAAGCCGGGCGCCCACCAAGGAATCTCAGAGTGCTTTGCCTGCCTGCATTGGGGTTCTGTCGCTGCTGTAGCATCTCACCCCAAAAGTGTGGGCTTTTAACAACCCAGATGACATCATTTATCATTTTATCACATGTATCATTTTTCATCATTCTGGAGGGTAGAGATTTGAAATAGGCCCAGAATGGAGGTGGCCGCAGGGCCCTGTTCCTTCTGGAGTTGCCAAGAGAAAAACCGGCTCCCTCCCTTTCTCAAGCTCTAGAAGATGTTTGCATTCTTTGGCTCGTGGCCCCTTTCGCTGGCAGTGCTGGGCCAAGTCAATCTTGTGTTACCCCCCTCTCTGCTCTCTTTCCTGGCTCCTCCTTACATCTTTCGGGACCCTGAGTTTGTATAGCTGAGAATCCAGGATCATCTCCCACTTCTGGATCTTCGACTCGAGTGGTCATGCCTGAAAGAAAGGTCCCTTTTGTCATGTCAGGTCACATATTCCCACGGTCCAGGAATCAGTGCCTGGACCTATTCAAACCAGATCAGTTTGCTCCCCATACCTTCCCGTCACCACCTCTTACATCTTTAGGGGAACCAGAGGAATATTGTCTCCCTCTCCTGGGATCGGATCTTCCCAATCTAAACACCCATCTAAGAAAAGGAACACTAAGGGGCCCTGGTATGGAGCTCACCCATGTGTGGGAGAGCAAAGACACAGGTACAAAAGGTACCTTTTGTTCTCAGGTACAAAAGAAACTCAGGACACAGTGTCTGCTGGCCTCCAGGCTCACTCAGCTCTTCACACCCCGCCCCTCCCCTAACTTCTCCAGCTCCTGGGCTTCCCTTCCCCAGCTTCTCATCCATCCATCCATCCATCCATCCATCCATCCATCCACAATCCCTATGTAACCCCGCCATTTGGGCCATGTGCTTTCTTGGCCTTCTCTTTTGTCTTCCTCTCCCCGCCTCCCCGCTTACTTTCTCTTCTCATTGCCTGGTCCCATGCTGGCCATGTTTAGTATATGGCTTTCTTTCCCTGCTCTGAACTCTTCCACATGTCTCTGGCTGTTCTCTCCCTCAAATCTACAACAAGCACCTTCCCCTCAGCCATACCCTGGAGCAGGCTTGTCCTCACTTTATACATTTGTCAGGGCTTGGGGGGAGGGGGTGCTCAGTGATACAGCACTTGCCTAGCAGGCCCGATGTCCTGGGCTTGATGTCCCGCACTCAAAAAACCACCAACAAAATGTTATCCTCTGGCAAGAGGGAGTTTTCAGACTGGGTGTACGGAGGGCCAGTACAGTTTTGTCATCACTAGGAGTTTCTCGGGAATCCTGGTCTTGTCATATTCACTGAAGAAAATGGGTCTCCGGACCGTGGACCCCAGCAGGAAGTGCCAGAGATTTATCCCCACACCATAAATCACTTTTACCAAACAGCCTTCTTCACGTTCTGAAGGGTCCATCCTTAAACACCCCTGTCTCCACAGCCCTCTTTGTCCCTGAGAAACACTCGGCACACTGTACTCAGGACCTAGTTCTGCTGTTCCCTCTCCATCAAGCCTCCTCCTTGTCTGCTCAGCCGCTGCCTGCGCAGAGTGGCCCTTGCAAACTGCAAACCTGCCTGTAGTTCTTACTGTGATTTCCCCCCAGAGTACAATTCACACCTGAGCTCTTCACCCCAGGGTGGTCAGAAGCACAGACTTTAGAACCCGGCTCCTCTGCCATTGTCTTAGGCTAGTCTCAGAGACCTGCCTCTGCCTCCCTCCCGAGGACTGTATTTGATGTGTAGGTGTGTCCTGCCAGTATCATTTCCTTGCTGGCAGCTGTCTGCAGTCTCCCCTCAACCCTGAGCATGAACTTTGAGGTGAGGTGTTGCTGGCCTTGGGGGTGCTTTCTCCCGGAACAGCAGGCACCGAGATGTGGATGAGCACGCCACTCTTGCACTTGGGACCCACACAAGGCCAGAGTCTTCCTCGTTTGCTTTGTGTCTGAGCCCTGGATTTGTCTCATCTCACAGGCCAGGGCAGGGGTGCTGACAATTTGGGGCTAGAGACTTCTCCAGATGGTACTCCTGTGTCACAGTGACCAAACTGACAGAATTTGGTTCACGGTTGCAGGGGTTTCCAGTCCATCCTAACGGCAATGGCATGTGGAAAAGGCTGCCATTGGCCTCTAGAGTGTGTGGGCGGACCCCCAACCTGGCTAGCCTATTCTTAAGTATGTATGAAGTCTCAAATGTCTGGATCCCAGGCACGTCACAGGGGTGGGGCAGGGAGCCAGGATGGAAGGACCACGAGGTGCAGAGGGCACGCTCATGCAGACTCCACCCAGCTTACCTCTCACCACAGTGTGACACAGTGCTTCATGACTCAGAGCAGGCGCATGGAGAAACAAGGTGGACGGAGCTTTGCTCAGCCTCCTAGGGCCTGGGAACTTTACCAGGTAGGAGCCGCAGTGTCTTTGAAACCCCGGTGTCCACCCATGGGGACCATGCACCCTTCTATTGTCCCTTCAGCAAACGAGCACCAACTTGGCCACTTGAAACAATAAACGTTATTGGACAGTTCTGTGGGTCAGAGTTCGACAGGTGTTTCAAGGGCAAAGGTCATGGTGCTAGGAGATGCAATCGGAAGAATGTGTTCCCTTTCCCTGGCTGGATTCTGCTGAAACAGTCTCCAGTGTGATTATACCAGACACAACCCAGATGCACCAAAATTGCCCCCGTTTTAAGACCATGTATCTGGGGACCTGACACTTTTCATGTAACCTAAGTCCCAGGACACAGGCATCTTGGGGAAAACAGCAATGTGACCGTGACAGGACAGAGTCAGTGAATACTGGGCCAGCCTGAGGCCACCTGTCGCTGGTCACTGCAAGCTTGTCTTAGGAACCAGTTCACTACCTGCAGAGGCAGGAACCAGCCTATTCTCAAAATCTTAAAAATGACATCATTAATTAATTTGTGTGTGTGTGTGTGTGTGTGTGTGTGTGTGTGTGTGTGAGAGAGAGAGAGAGAGAGAGAGAGAGAACATGGCTTGTAAAGTCAGCTTTCCTCCTATCATGTAGGTCCTAGAAATATATCACAGTGAAGTCACCAGGCTGGGCAGCAAGCAGCTATGTCACCATCCAAAAAATGACATCTTAAACCTGAAAATAATCACATCTTTAAAATAATGCCCAACTGCTGTCTGGTTTTGGTTTTCACTTATTTTTTTTTAAAAGATTTATTAGTTATTTTTATTTATGTGTGGCTGTGTGTTCCACATGTTTGCAGGTGACCATGGAGGCGAGAGGGTGTCTGGTCCCCTGGAACTAGCGGCTGTGGCTGTGAACTGCCTGACATGGTGCTGGGAACTGAACCCCAGTCCTCTAGGTAGGAGCTCTTTTTTGTTGTTTTTGCTTTTGTTTTTCGGGACAGGGTTTCTCTGTAGCTTTGAAACCTGTCTGTCCTGGAACTAACTCTGTAGACCACACTGGCCTCGAACTCAGAGATCCATCTGTCTCTGCTTCCAGAGGGCTGGGATTAAAGGTGTGCAGAGCCATCTCTTCAGCTCAGCTTTCACTTAGATTTGCCTCTGACAACTCTTCAGGAAGGAGCTTCATTATTTATAAGTAAAGCCAGGCTCAGATAGGCACTAGCAAGATTCCATGACTTGGGGAGGCAGGATTCCAGACTGGGCCCTTCATCCATAAGTTTTATTCTGTTCCCAGGAAGCCGTTGTCAGCACCACTGAGAGCAAGTGCTGTGGCCCTAAATGAGAGTTATTGTTTGGGGTTGAGATGTCCCCAGCACCAGGTCCCCAGCATGTGGTGCCATCCCAGGGCTGTGTGGGCTGTAAGTGCAGGGCCTGACAGGGTGGAGTAGGTCAGCAGAGACTGGTCTTGGAAAGTTATTGCCACTCACTGGTTCTAGTCCTGCTGTCTCTGCCTCTTGGCCAGTTTCACATGAATCATGACTAATGCCAATGACCTCACCTTAAATGCAACAGGTAAAGAAGCAGTCCTCAGCCTTGACCAGGAAGTTACTGGTCCCCAATAGCAAGTTTTTTCTGTTTGTTTGTGCTTTTTTTTTTTTTTTAATCCATAGGTAATTTGTCTCTTCCTGGGAGTAAAATATAAAGACTACCTACCTCAAAAGAACAGTAAGAGATAAAATGTACACAAAACTCAGCAGGTAAATGGGAGCTGGGATTATCATCTATCCAGCTACCAGAGTGTTCTAGCTGCAGAGATAGTACCCAGACAGGAGATTCCTTAAGGCCCATTGGTTTCCAGCCGCTTTAAGGTTATCTGGGACTTACTGTCCTTGTCCGTGGAGCCCATGGCTAACTAGAAAGTTTGGACATTCCTTTAGGCTAGAAAACAGTGGCAATGAAACCCGTACACTCACTCCCATGTACCACACACACACACAGTACAGCATGTGGAAGTCTTGATTCTTCAGTGCAGGTGATTAAGTAACTAAAGAGTTTCATTCTGTCCATTAGTTTTTGTTTTGTTTTGCTGATCTACAGCAAACAGTTGCCACCTAACAAAGCAACAGAGAGTAGCCACGGACTGTTTTGGGTCCAGTATTTTATGCTACCATTGGACCCACTGGAATGGTTTGATATTATAAACTTTCCTTTCAAAGCCTCTTTTCTGGGGGCTGGAGAGATGGCTCAGCAGCTAAGAGGATTTGCTGCTCTAGCAGAGTCCCAGCACCTACGTGGCAGCCCTGGACTATTTTAACTCCAGTTCTGGGAGATCTGACGCCCTCTTTTGGCCTCTGCAGGCACCATCCACTCACGTTTGGACATACACACATGCAGGCAAAAGACCCACACACCATTAAAAAAAGCAACTTATGATTCCTGAAGGCTATCCATAACCTATGCAACAGTATGGGAATCTTCCCACTACTTGCTGACCACACGATCGATTTGACTAAAAAGTTCCTAGACAGGGTTTCTCTCTGCGTAGCCCTGGCTGTCCTGGAACTCGCTGTGTGGACTAGGCTGGCCTCCAACTCAGAGATCCACCAGCGTCTGTCTCCTAGTGCTGGGATTAAAGGTGTGCGCTACCACTGCCCTGCAGG